GGGGAGTCAGTTAAAGCCCTCTGTTTGCCTCAACTAATGCTAAATTAAGATACTTAGGTGTGGGAGGATAAATAAAATAAATAAAATCTCAGCTGCAGTGTGATTCTCTCTTATTAATCGATTCTGTAAGCTAATTATAGGCTAACTAGGCTAACTCTTTTTTTCTGCATTTGTACACTAGAGGCAGTCATATTATTTTGCTGCCAATTACACACAAAACCATTGAACAAGTATACGAACTTAAGGTTTCATGGGTGAAGCGAAATACAAGGGCAATCATGTATGTTGCTTAACAATGTATGTTGGGCGACTTAATAGTTTTGTGAAAAACATTTGAATGGTAGTAGCGGTGGGCGATATGACCAAAATCTTATATCACGATATGAGTAATTTTATTTCACTGTAACGATATGTCACAATATAATTATTTTTGCTTTAAATAAGGTCTTTGACAAACATTTTTGATACCATATTTCTTTTTTCATAAACAAATTCCTAATTTTTGTCACCAGTGTCAACATCACCAAAAACTAATAGCCTAGATTAAAAAAAAAACATAACTCTTTAAGATGCAATCTTTTAGACACTCGCAACCCAAACAGTATCTACACACACACGTGCCGGTTCCCAGCAGGCCTGTGTGGTGGTAAATGGCAGTGCTGGCCAGGATGATAAAAATGCAGTCCAACGGAAACAGACAGGCTGATTTACGAGGCCAATAAATATGGACTAAGTGATAATCTGTTGAACATTATTATCGCTCTTCTCTACAATCAGATTAATCCACGCACAGCATGCAGCATCCTTTCTAGCCTAATCCCACAATAATCACAATGCACAAGCCTGGGGAGTCAGTTAAAGCCCTCTGTTTGCCTCAACTAATGCTAAATTAAGATACTTAGGTGTGGGAGGAACAAAAAAATAAATAAAATCTCAGCTGCAGTGTGATTCTCTCTTATTAATCGATTCTGTAAGCTAATTAATCGATTCTTAGGCTAACTCTTTTTTTCTGCATTTGTACACTAGAGGCAGTCATATTATTTTGCTGCCAATTACACACAAAACCATTGAACAAGTATACGAACTTAAGGTTTCATGGGTGAAGCGAAATACAAGGGCAATCATGTACGTTGCTTAACAATGTATGTTGGGCGACTTAATAGTTTTGTGAAAAACATTTGAATGGTAGTAGGGGTGGGCGATAAGACCAAAATCTTATATCACGATATGAGTAATTTTATTTCACTGTAACGATATGTCACAATATAATTATTTTTGCTTTAAATAAGGTCTTTGACAAACATTTTTGATACCATATTTCTTTTTTCATAAACAAATTCCTAATTTTTGTCACCAGTGTCAACATCACCAAAAACTAATAGCCTAGATTAAAAAAAAAACACACAACCTCACGGAAGATAAGTAAACAGTCAGTTATTAAATAAGAATAAGAAACTAATTACAAGCAATACAACAACAAAAAAAACTACAGTAGAACAAATAAATAAATGCTACATACTTTTTATTAATTTTAATGTTATTTCACTGTAACGATATGTCACAATATAGTTATTTTTGTTTTAAATAAGGTCTTTATGACAAACATTTTTGATACCATATTTCTTTTTTCATAAATAAATTAATAATTTTGTCACCAGTGTCAATATCACCAAAAACTAATAATAGCCCACTGAAGTAAGCAGTCTTATTTAACAGTGATTAAATAAGAATAGGAAACTAATTACAAGCAATAAGACAAAAAAAACTACAGTAGAACAAATAAACAAGAAATGTTCCTATTCGCAAGCACGACTGGAGCAGGACGTTTCTCAGTGGTAAGTGTCAAGTGTTAACAAGTTTGTGGTAATTATAAGATGTGATAAAACAAATTTACTCTCACAGCGTAGGATACAGCGTCTTCTCGACATGATGTTAACCACACAGAAATTTTTACTGTTTGTGGGCGGGCAAGTTGGCGACGTAGAACGTGGGCAGACATTATGCAAATGTGTTACTTCGTGACATAGAGCCGTAACAGAATAAGATTCGAATTCCTGACGACTCGTTTTGCCGATTGCGAGCCGACTCTTTTTATCGTATTTATTGTGCACTGTCGGCTTCACAACTTTGCAGATAGTTTATGTTCACATACAGCTACATGACACACTGCATGAAAGGTAATATTCGAAAAGGCATAATAGGGGCACTTTAACTATTTTCCAAGCAGAATAAATGAATAATATTATCTCTGCATTAGCAAGAACTCTATGCACTTGACTCTGATTCCATTTGAGTTTGATGTTAGCATGCTACTAAGCTAACAACGTGACACTCTAATAAGACTAAGAACACAACTATTAAGTAAAAACTACAATTTAATAACACTAAGTGATTCTTTTGAAATTTAAAAAGGTATTTCATTTCATTTTATAATCAGCATTTCTCTTGCCTTGCCCACCATCTTGGATTCAGGTTTTTTCATAAACTTGCTTTTAGGAGGCAGCATGCAGTTAGTCTTACATTTTCATTTCTTTCCATTGTGTCTTTTTTTTAAAATCTTTTTTCCTGGCCTTTTTATTTATTTATTTATTTTTGGCATATGAGGAACAAGCATTGATTTGTGGTTAAAATCTGTTGTACTGGACTTTCCCCTTCTCACTTGTTTTAATAGACATATCTGGTAGATGTTTTGCATGCACATCACAGACATTTACTCTACACACACACACACACACACACACGCACAGCTGGATGTGACTGATTGAGGATAGTTCCTGCATGCTGAGCAGGTGTCACGTCTCTGTGTTTACATAAGTGACATCAGTTTATGACACTGGAAAGTTATTAAAATAAAC